AAAAAACAAGCGCGCGCGGAAAAATAGTCTTTGCATTTGCTCACGTCAGCAGCGTACACCCATGGGCAAATGGTGGACGCTAAATTGACCAATCAGAGCGCGCGCTTTACTTTGGTTATGTTATAAATTAATTTTCGAACTTTTTAAACGAGCCTCACACTATTTAAGGATAGTAGTGGTATTTCACTGAATTTACAAGCCGTTTGTCGTTAACATCTTTTTTCAAAATTTCAAATAATTTGCTCGAGAAGGAAAGTAATTTATACCTTTTACCTCTTTGGTGGCAAACTGAGAGAAATGAAGTGAGCAAGCGAAGGCACTGATTTCAAGTGCAATAACTTCGCGATTAATATAAGGTTGCCTTGAAGTGTAAATACGTGCATTGATCGATCCTTTTTTCCTTTAAAAATAAAGAAGTGTTTCATGAAAAGTCCAAAAACTTTAATCTTTTTATTTGTAGAAATTCATTATAGGCGACTGCCATTAGCTGAATCGTTGGGATGAGCATTCGACCGAAAGTTGATGGATATATTCAATGGAGAGTTGTTGAAGGATACATTGGTGAACAATCCACCTAGAACTCCTACTGCTAGATCATCAATGCCGTTATTCCTTGATGTTGTGTTATTGCCAACTACTGATGGAAGTGCATGGCTGTTGATATAAATTTCTCGCAAAGCTTTAGTGCGTGGACCGTCGATGGCGTTGGCAGCTGTGCAAGTCGAAGTGGTACGACTGAAAACCCAGCCAACTTGCTTGACATCCTTTGTTGTTTTTCTAAACGATTATGGCTGCAGATGGATATTTAACCCGGGTTGGCGTGACCTGTTAGCTCGGAGATTAGTTTTTCTGGGCCGTGTTCACGGGATTTTCTCACTTTTGGGTTGTCGCAAGCAAAAGAGGTTTTTCATGCTTCCCCAAGAATTTGAAGTTCAGTTCAAAACAAGGAAGAACCTCAGGCTCACTTTGAAAACGCTTTGTTTGTTTTTGCTTTAAACAATTTTTGCTCTAAACAATTTCGCTTAGCCTCGTTTTCAACTCGCAATTCCGCGCTGAATACCTCGTTTCGTCAACCAATCAGAAAGCGAGATTTTAGTGAATGATGCGATTCTGAACAGAATTACACGCAGTTGTTTTGAAAGCTGTTTAGCAACGCATCTGTCAAAACAGGAACAGTGAGCTTGCGTGCGTGATAAACGCGTGTTCTGAGACTTCCTTTTCTCTGTGCAAAACTATTCCTTTTAGTTTGGAATGCGAAATATTTTCGGATTGGCGTCCGGTTGATCACATAGGATTCCAGAATTAGTCCCAGTTGTTTTGAAAGTCGGCCAGTAACACGCGTGTCAAAACAGGAACGGTATGTATGATTCAGAATGATTTTATCAGCGACGCTAGAGCTTAAGGAGCGGTAGATTCAATCTATGCAAAGCACTATTCCTTTTCGTCTCCCACTTGATATTCCCATTTAAGTTAATCTTCACAAACCAATTGATTCCACAAGATCGCGGACAACGCTTACAAAGAGCTGAGATAAATAAGCGATCTGACCCGGTTGCCTTGAGCTTCATTTGTCTGGAATTCATAATTTGCTCACAAATTTCCCGGCCCGTTCATAAAACAATATTCGAGTTTTTCAAATGAATGACAGACTAACGCTTGGCAGTTTTGGTAAGCATGAGCTCTTCGTTTGTCCCTGGCAGTCACTGATGAGAAGATGCTATGCGAAACAGTATCTTGCATTGATTGTTTCGAATACAAGAAAGCAAAGGATCTCCTAACTCTACTAGCTTCAACTTTTTTATAGTCCTCTTGGATAGGCCTGTCCCGATTGTGCTCGTAAAATGCTGGAAAGGATCTCACTGGAATGCCAAAAAGTTTCAAAACTGAGTTGCTGCCCAAATTTCAAAAGCTGCTACCTAAATTTCTTGATATTCTTATATAATAAAACAGTAATAAGCGATAACATTAGTCAACAAAAATAACTTGAAACTTTAAGTTAGCTCTAAAGAGTTGCTCAGAAATATATATATCCACAAAAACATTTAACGACATTCATATGTCTAACGGAACACAACGAATGGTTCATTAAACGTCTTGCCAAACAAAAAGTTGTCAAGTGACAGGTTGTGCTTTCAAAAGTTTGATTAACATTCAATAACTTTGCATAAATTAACAGGTGCGTTTAAAAGTTTTATTCAAGAAATTTGCATAATTTAAAGTTTGCAATGAAATTATGGACTATTTCGTGCTTGATATGTGCTCTAAACCGAAAACCGATATTAACTTATATTTTCGCAAAAAAATTGCTTGGAAATAAAAACATTTCACGAGGTTGTTAGAGTTGGACAAAGCAGCCTCAAGCGCCAAAACTCGTTCAAAGTTGCAGAGCGCAGTCGGGACTGGCCTTCTCATGGAGCTTTTAAGAAATTTCCAATTACACCATCTTAGCTGGTGTGCAACGAACGCATGACGGGTCACGGTTACTGTTTGCTAAGTATGACGCACTACAAGTACCAAATACTTCGGTATTTAACTCTCTAGGGTTGTTTTAGTACCAAGATGATCCATATCAGTTGTCTAATTATATTTTATCTCAGAGCGTATCCCATATCTCAACGATTGTAGTGCGCAGTAAAGCTATCTTTGCCGTCTCTGCCCTGTTTTTCACTTTCCACGAGGGTGGGAAAAATGAAGAGGAAATTTGGGTTGGTGTCTTGTGTTGCAGAAAAAAATCGATCAACACAGCACAATATGCCAACTCCTCTTGTTACAGTCTTTCTTATAATGATAAGTAATTTGTTTTGTGAAGCGGCAGTTTGACGTGATGTGGGCTCGACGTAGGTGACGAGTTTTAATCCTTAACGAATAATATTTTCTGTAACCCATACTGAAATCAGTACAATATAAATGCAATGAGGATGGAGAGAATTTTCTTCTATTTAGCCCACGGGGTATAATTTATTGACCACTGGCTTTTAGACTGATATTGGGTGTAGATCTCGCGTTTGGATCTAAGATATAGAATGGTTCTCTATGCTGTCTTGGACTAGTAGGTGTTTACAACTGATAATGACCTTTTTCACCTTTCAGGCAACATGGCGTCTACTAAAACTGGTTTGGCTTTTTCTGGTGGTGGAATTCGGTCAGCGGCGCTATGCTCTGGGGTTCTACGTAGACTGCTCCAGAATAAAGCAAAGGTGGACTACCTGAGCTGCGTGTCAGGGGGTGGCTACACAGGCACAGCATTTTTAGATTGGAAATACAGAAAAGAGAAGAAAGCAAAGGGCAACGAAGAATGGCATGAAGAGTTCTTCGACAACATGAGACAAAGAGCAGGTTATCTGTGTAACTGGGAGAAGCCATGTCAAGGAATCCTTGATACGATTGCAATGTTCCTCCTTGTACTTACTGTCACCTTCATTGAACCGATTGTCATATATGGATCATTCGCATTTCCACTTGCCTTCATCATCGATTACCTCTTCGGAGAGGCACTTCGCGTAGAAGATTGTAATCACATTGCGGCACCTACTTCTCCAATTAACCAAAAACCTAGGACTCGAGAAATCCAGGAACACTGTCTTTCTGGTCAAGGAACCGTAGCTTTCATTAAGATTACTCTTTTTTCAGTTCTGGTTGTGCTCTTTGTCATTTTTTTACATTCTGTCGCAAAAATTGTCAGAGAAGAAGTCCAAATATTTTAACTTTCTCTGGACTATTCCCTTTTTATTATTTTGTTTTACTTTCCTCCCATTTGCAATCAATGATTTCTTTATGAAAATCCCCCTGTGGAGTCGGGTAGCTATTGTAGTGATTGGTGTAGCAGTATGGTTTTTCTTCCCTCTGCTAAGGAAAAAGACATCCTGCGGCATTATAATTTATTTATATTCCTATATCATCTACTGGAAAGTGTACAGAGCTAAGATTGTTGGTGTTGTGTTTTCTCCTTTGCTGTTTAGAGGGCTACTCCTTGCCTCTGGGTTTATCTTGTGGTTTGTTCCCTATCTGGTACAGTCACGCGAGAGGCTTGTCCATGTCTTCAACAGGTAGGATTGAAAAAGGTCACTTATCATTTACAGAATGTTTTTTATTAAGTTTATTACTCACTAAATCACTTTTAAATCTACCAATTTGCAGATGGAGACTTCACAAGGCATTTTACTCAAAGGAAAGTTTAGGTACTAAGGGATGGCGGGGAATTCTCCATAACATCTTCTGCCCATTATGGACATGTCTGAAGAAAAAACAGAAGCAGGAACCTTGCCCTATAGATCAGAGAGGTGTTTTTGATACTCCTGCGAATGACGTTGAGCCAGCACATAAGAGATCTTTGAACCTGGCAGATCTCAGAGGCATGGAGCCTGAATATATATCAAACATGACTGTCCACTGCTGGAAGGAAGATGCCACCTCTGACAAGGATGGTGATCTCCTAACAATGTCACCTACCACAATAGAGCGTTTAGATCGAGATCCATCGACTGTTGATCCATTTAAGGACAAGCTGAGCCCTCGAGATATAGAATTATCAGACGCCATGGCGACATCTGCAGCAGCGATTTCCAGTTACGAAGATAACCTCAAAGTATTACGCCTCTCCACGCTTCTTGGACTCGAAATGGGTACCCCAATGATCAGTAACCTCGAGGCAATTAAAAAAGAGTAATGGTTCATGAAGGTAAGAAGTTGCTCTTTCACTTCAGGGAGTTCGTCGCTAACATGATATTCGCCTGGTAGGTACATATGATACTGCGCGTGCTTTAGTGCAGTTGAGATTAATTGTTTTGATAAAACGGTAAAATAAGGCGACTTCCTCGATTAAATCAACAATTAATGCTGTAGGTTTTTATGCATCGTTTTCACTCTAGAACAGCTCCTCCCAATTCTCATCAATATTCTCCGTGGTCTTCCATTGATCGCCGTACCAGCGGTTTACTTTAGTAAAGGGGATGAGGAATCAAGAGATGAGTGGTCGATTAAAGCTGGAGTATTCACATTCTTTGCAATTCACCTGGTGTTGGCTTTCATTGGAGCTCTCGCCGACAGAGGAGCTCAGACCCAAAACGTATGGAAGAAGATAGCCAGGTATGGATTGCGTAAATCTGAGTACCGTTTTTACGATGGTGTGTCGATAGATCCAGACGAAATTACTGAAAAATGTTGATCTTTAGAAATCTCCGAAGGAGTCTACAGGAACTAGAGGTAAATCTTAAAATGCCACCGGCCTCAAGCACAGGAAATGAACGGGACGAAAAGTTTTCTTTTTTAGTTTTACAACTGATTTAGATGGTAGTCCAGGATTAAGAGAAAAACTAATGCAATCCCGGTAATCTTTTTACACTTACTGAAATCGCTCTAAATGATGGTGTGCTGAAAAAACCCAAAAGATTCATGCTTCAATTATGGTATCCGGGTACTACATTCATTTTGAGATCACTATTGATCCTCGCAATGTGATCGGCTTTCATCGATGTGATTTATTCACTACGAATCGCACTATTTTTGCCATAAATCGCACCTTTTCCGAGCCAGTGAAACAGCTTTACTAAAACACAACAACCAATCAAATTTCAAGACTTTTATTAAGTAACCAATCAAATTGAAGGGAAAAGAAAGACAACTTTTTAAAAACTAGCTCAGTACCGAATTAATAAAATAATTGTACAGAATAAAAAAATCCTACCATTTAACTGTCTTTCGTTACATATCTACATATGTATGTTGTTTTCCAAGGTGGTTCACTTTGCACGATTCCTTTGTGAAGTTCGTGACAAAAGGCCTTTCTATTATAAATAACGGACCCACCCCTCCTCCCGTGATGCTACTAAGCGATGGAGGCCACGTGGAAAATCTTGGTATTTTGCCATTGTTAAAGAAACAACTCAAGAAAATTATTGTGGTGGATGGTGGTTACTGTTCTAATGAGAAGAAGTATGGGGAAAGTCTACTGGAATCACTTATGCTCGCTCGTAGAGAGCTGAGCTGTTCGTTTATTGGCCATGGCGGTCGTGACGTCACTTCCGACCTGTTGGAGAACTTCGTGAAGCTACAGCAACCAAATGAAAGGAAACCACGACATTTCGAGTAGGTATCTATGATACTTTTCTTGAATTCATTAACGTCTCTTCTTTGCTAAAGGAAAGAGTGGTTAGGTCAATGCCTGGTTAACATCAGTTGGACAAGCCCCGGATTTTCGAACGTGATGTCGAGGTTCCAAGATATCCAGAGCGGGGAGAGGGGAGGGAGGAGGGGAGGGGG